TGCAGTTGGTCATTGTTAGGTGGTCCACAGTTGGTCATTGTTAGGTGGTCCACAGTTGGTCATTGTTAGGTGGTCTGTTAGGACTCTGCTGGGGTTCAGCTAAATAAATCAACACAAAGTGTCATATTGAAAGAAGAAGAGCTGCTGGACAAGCCTGGAACAGTTTACAACAGTTAATGTTCTGCAGCTGTCAGCAGCTCTTCATGTTTCTTCTGTGGTGACAGCTTCCTGTTTTGATGTTTTATGTTCCCATGTGGGATCCACAGTTACCAGTTTAGTTTTCTGCAGCGGTGAGTTCTCACAGATCACTGAGGTTTGAACCCAAACAAATTCAGAATTAAATTAGAATCATCTGAGTTTAAACCTGCAGAGAGAAACGGGTTTGATCAGATCAACACTTTGTAACTTTTTCCTCTCTGTCCTCCCAGTGTTTGTGCAGGCCAACAAGCTCCAGCAGCACATTTTTGCTGTGCATGGCCAGGAGGACAAAATCTATGACTGCTCTCAGTGTCCACAGAAGTTCTTTTTTCAAACAGAGCTACAGGTAAGACACTTACTCTCACTCTGGTCTGTGCTCCGTCTGTTCTGGAAAACTCAGGAAAACAACGATGTTTTAAGCAGATAATCCCAGATTAAAACATGATCTAAATATTACTCCTGTAATTATTCTGTCGCTTTTTCTGAGGTCCTGGAAGAGTTCTGACCCGTCTTTATCAATCAGAACCTGAAGTGTGTAGAGTAGGTCCTGATCCAGCTGAGCTCAGCTGTCTGACAATAAACACCTTTTATTTCAGGACAAACGTCAGCTAAAACACACATAGATCAGCTAAAACACACCCAGATCAGCTAAAACACACGTAGATCAGCTAAAACACATGTAGATCAGCTAAAACACACGTAGATCAGCTAAAACACACCCAGATCAGCTAACACACCCTAGATCAGCTAAAACACACCCAGATCAGCTAAAACACACCCAGATCAGCTAAAACACACGTAGATCAGCTAAAACACACGTAGATCAGCTAAAATACACCCTTGATCAGCTAAAACACACCCAGATCAGCTAAAACACACCCAGATCAGCTAAAACACACGTAGATCAGCTAAAACACACGTAGATCAGCTAAAACACACCCAGATGAGCTAAAACACACCCAGATGAGCTAAAACACACCCAGATGAGCTAAAACACACCCAGATCAGCTGAAACACACCCAGATCAGCTAAAACACACCCAGATCAGCTAAAACACACGTAGATCAGCTAAAACACACGTAGATCAGCTAAAACACACCCAGATGAGCTAAAACACACCCAGATGAGCTAAAACACACCCAGATGAGCTAAAACAC